ACTAACTATGAATTCCTACTGTCAGTCCTATTTTCATACTGTTGGCTGGCTACTTATTTTCTAAAAGTGCATCTTCTGAAGTAAAGAATATCTGCTTGCATTAATTGAAAAACTGAATTAGTTCTTCAGGATTAAGTGTGAAGAATGCCATTGATCTTAACAGGCTCTTCCATTGCCATATCATATATGCTCTACATTAGTGGGTGCAAGACTCAATAGCTTAGGTATCATTCAAGATCTTGAGAGCCTGTAAGGCTCCAACACAAAAAGGGGAAAAAAATAAGAGAAATTGGCCTTCCCGGAAGAAATCCCTATTTGGAGCATTCTGTCAGTTCAAAAAATAAATGACAAATTTAAGGAAGTTCAGAGGGGGGCTACCAAGATAGTCAGGGGTGTGGAAACCCAGCCCTATGAGGAACAGTTAAAGGATCTCAGTATGTTTAGCCAGCAGAAAAGACAACTGAGGGGAGAGGTGATAGCAGTCTTCAAATATATGAAGGGCTGTCACACAGAAAAAGGAATGGACTTACAGGTAGTTCTTACTTAATGACATTAATTGGGACAAGAAACTCCATCAATAAGCAACGTGCTTATGAGTAAAAAATCACGTGACCATGCTGCTTAGCCACAGCAGTTCCAGCAGTCCCAGTTGCCTTCATTAAGCAAGGACCTCATGTGCCTGCAACTTCTGGCTTCCTCACTGACTTTGCTAGTGGGAAGCCAGCAGGGAAAGTTGCAAATTGCAATCACGTGACTGCGGGATGCTGCAATGGCCATAAGTATGAGGTCTGGTCGTAACTGCCACTCATTCAGCGCCATCATGAGTTTGAATGGTCATGAATGAGTGGTCATTAAATGAGGACCACCTGTATTCTCTGTTGTCCCAGAGGAGGACCAGAATCAGCGGGTTAAAACTAGGTTCAGACTAGACCTCAGAAGGAACCTCCTAACTGTACAAGTTGTCAGCCAGTGGAACAAATGGCCACATAATATTTTGACTTCTCCTTCATTAGAGGTCTTCAAACAAAGCCTGAACAGAGATGATCTAGCAGGTTTGACACTGAGCAGGACTGAACTAGATGACTTCTATGATTTGAAGTCCAGAAAACAATAGTTTGAGAAGAGGGCTCTTTTCTAACAACTAAACTGAAAGGCATTTAGCATATCTTATATGCCAAGACTCTCTATGTCTAGCTGAGCTAGAAATGCCTTAGAAATCAGCTAGAGCAGTGTTTCTCAACCTTGACAACTTCATGATGTGTGGACTTCAACTCCCAGAATTCCCCAGCCAGCTGAGGAATCAAGAAACACTGCTCTAGTGCAGCGGTCCCCAACCTTTTTGGCACCAGGGACTGGTTTCGTGGAAGACAATTTTTCCACGGACCGGGTGGGGGATGGTTTCAGGATGATTCAAGCACATCACATGTTAGGGTTTTGATATGAGTCTGCAAGCAATTGATTTATTATGTGCAGTCTGTGCAGTCAAACCTCTCTGCTAATGATAATCTGTATTTGCAGCCACTCCCCAGCGCTAGCATCACTGCCTCAGCTCCACCTGAGATCATCAGGCATATGATGATTCTCATAAGGAGCGTGCAACCTAGATCCCTCGCATGCACAGTTCACAGTAGGGTTCACACTCCTACGAGAATCTAATGCCACCGCTGATCTGACAGGAGATGGAGCTCAGGCGGTAATGCAAGCAATGGGGAGTGGCTGTAAATACAGATGAAGCTTCGCTCGCTTGCCGCCGCTCACCCGCTGCTGTGTGGCCCAGTTCCTAACAGGCCACAGACCAGTACCGATCCATGGCCTGGGGGTTGGGGACCCCTGCTCTAGTGGATCCAGGACTGAGCGGGGAGATTGGACTAGAGATATGAAATACAGTATTAGAAAGCACCTTAAGAACCCAGTAAACATGGAAGCCCTGGAAAGTTATTATAAGGAGAATTGGGGTGCATGCAACTCTCAGGAAATTTCAGAGGTTTATGCTGCTATCCTAACAGAAAGGCAGAGGAAGAGGAAAAGGATTTATTGTAGTGTCTTTCAAACTTGTCAACTTTACGAAGTGTGGACTTCAACTCCCAGAATTCCCCAACCAGCATGCTGGCTGGGGAATTCTGGGAGTTGAAGTCCACACATCGTGAAGTTACCAAGGTTGAGAAACACTGCTCTAGCTGATTTCTAAGACAACCTGCTCTTTCCTTTGCTTTTGCTGAATGTGTAACTTTGTTTGCCAAGCTGCTGGACAGCCTCTTGGCTGTCAAGACCCCAGAACAGCCTCTTAGATGAAGAGTCAAGGAAGAGTCAACAAAGAGTCTATTTGTTCCAGCATGCTGAACATAAAGGCAACACCCCTAATTTGGATCATTTTATCTGCTCTTACATTGTTCAAGTGTTTTAAGAATAGATTAATAGTAAACATGGTTGAATGCATGTTGCCAAAATTGAAAAAGAAGCTGCTTCCTCTGCCTTGTGATGAATTTGCCCGAGCCAAGAAACTGGTGGGAAGCTTTGCTACTGTTAGCACAGCTGTGGTTTTTAATGGGCACTGAAAAAAAAGCAGCTTTCTGGAGCTCCTAACAGGCTCAATCTTCTGCCGTGAATAATGGAATTTTTCAAAAGAAAAGGTTGCAGTGCTTTATACATTTTCTTGGCAATTTGAGCAGAAAAGCACTCATACTCAAGATCATTGTTCGTACAATACGTGTAGAGGAGCAGAAAGAGTAAATCTGGTTGCGTCCCATTGCTGGAACCATGGGTCTTGGTTAACGCCACCTCCCAGTTCAGTGGTTTGATGAAAATGGCTATTTTCATACCTTTCTTAACAGTTAAGAACCAGCATTTGAGCCTCCATTCTGGGTCCCTCATAGTCAATATGTTTCTTTAATACATAGTCTAATGCAGTGTTTCTGAACCTGAGCAACTTTAAGATGTGTGGACTTCAACTCCCAGAATTCCCCAGCCAGCATGCTGGCTGCTGACTGGGGAATTCTAGGAGTTGAGGTCCACACATCTTAAAGTTGCTCAGGTTCAGAAACACTGGTCTAATACACTGAGAGACTAATATTTTATCTGTTGTATGTTTATACATGGACACATTTACTGAAGAGGAGGGTAGGTGGGAATTTTAAACAAAGACACATCACCGAGAGAGGAATAATAATATCCTGTCTTGATTCAGGCCTGAGGTGATAGAATTAATCTTCCTTTTAGAATTTACTTTTATTTAGTGATGGATACTATGCTTCTCAAAAGCACTACATTATGGAACCCTGTTCTAAACAGCCCTTCTTCAAACTATTTTATCCAGCTACTAGAGTTTAATTTGCATATGCCAATATGTAATACTACAAAGCATTGAGTGAACCTTGTCTTTCAAATATTCTATGCTTTTTAATCTTGTTTTCAAGATTGCTGATTTCCTTTGTTAGAAAATATTTGATGTAAAGACACCACTAATTAAGAAATGTTATTACAAGTTTTGATGCATTTCCTCCTCCAGTTTTCTTCCCCACCACTGCCATTAAGCTTCCGATGCTGAAAATAAAATAATGGATGTAATAAAAACAGAACAGGGCAGCCAAATTAGTAATCAAACCAGAAAAGAACAAGTAGTGGTTCAACGCTAGATACAGTTAAAACACCTCCAAACCAATGAATGTACACTGGCTAGACAAGATCTAAAATTCTGACAGTAATTAAGCAATGGCTTCTGTGTTATATATTTAGAAATAAGTAGAAACAAATACTGGGTTGATATATGTCCAGACAGAGGAGGAGAAGGAGGTGGCCTCCTCACCACCTTGATGACTCAAGATTCTTAAAGAGACAGAGATTAATTTTTTCACTTTTCCACCTGCACACTATTAGTGCAAGGACCCTAAGTTATAGTAAATGGCTTGAAACGCAAACTATGTGATTAATGTTCCAACAAGCAGACAGGTTCATAAGTGCTATGAACTATGGTTCAGGACAGAGACCTGCAACCTTTTAGCCCAAGAGCTTCATTTGTCTTTTTCACACCATGCCACTAGTCACTTTTGAAGAAGGAATCAGGACAAATACTGTGATCTCTAAATATTATTTAACCAAATACAAGTGATATGATTTATAATTTATAATACAGGTAGTCCCCAGTTTAAGAACAAGTTCTGTTCCCAAGGTCTGTCCTTAAGTCGAATTTGTATGTAAACCAGAACAGTACTATTGTATAATGCTTTATAAGTAGTATTATGTAATTAACTCAAACCACTGTGTATTTAACTCAAATCATTGTGTATTTAACTTGAATTTTGCTATAATAGGCTCTGTTCTTAACTATGGGTCATCCTTAAATGGGGCATTCTTAACCAGGGGACTGCAATATAAAAACAATTTCCAGCATTTAATGATTTCTTACTTCTACCACCCATTAGAGGGTTCTGGATGAGGCTTGGAGCCCCAAGCTGTGGAAAAGTAATTTATTGATCATTCATTTAACTTGGCTGTGTCAAAGTCCTCCGCACTCATCTACCAGACTCAATAGTAGCCTTGTTCTGGCATTACAAATTTGGAGTATTCACCATGTTAGCATTGCAGCAAAGCCCTGCCTCACACCCATGTCGCTGAAACGACACTGCCTTTCTGCAGGCATTTTTGCATTCTGCACAACAGTCTATAGGTAGAAAACCAGTATGCCTTCAGCCATGAACATGCTAGCTTCTACATGGGCCGTGATCCTGCCTTATGAGGTCTCGGCTCAGGTGGAACCAGTATGATACCTTTCCTGCAGGCAGTGATGCTTAATTCACAGGTGCCTATACAGAAGATGATGATGTTGGAATAATACCAGTGGTAGAGAGAAGGAACTATCCAGATTCAAAGTAATGTCCAAACATAGCTTGTGACAGCAACAGCTGGTACTGAGAACAGTTACAGCACAGACTTAATGTTAAAATTTCTTATGCTAAATACAGAAAACACTGTAATACCACCTTCTCAAAAGCATTCAAACTCACGTTTTGTTGTGGGAAAAGAACTGTTTGCAGATACCAGAGCCAACGTAAACAGCAACAACCGAAGATCCATTCCTCTGGTTTCTGCAATTTCAGAAAAATATAATAATATAAATCTCATTATATTTACAAGAGGGAAACATCATTTCACTTCTCCACTGCTGTAGTGGTTAACTGGATGGAATAAAGCCAAAGATCTATGTACGGACAGATTACAATAAATGTTATGGCCTTATAAAGTTTTATTATATATAGTAACTGCAAGAGATAGTAAATTATATTCCCTGAGGCTGCTGACCTGTAAATGGAAGACATTCCAGGACATGTATTCATTTTCTACCAATGCAATTATCATCAAAGAAACTTGGGGGTTGCTGGTGGGGGTGTTCAAATGTTCTGTTACCTCTTATTTCCCCATACAGGAGAGATATATTAGTGCTGTGCAGAAAAATTGTATTGATAAAAAAAGAACTATATACTTTTTCTATCAGTTCTCATATAAAGGAGAATTTATCTTTTTTTTCCAACAGAAAATTTGGATTACATTCTTCTGTTGTTTTTGGACTTATTGAATGACAAGATAGTCAGTGGACTATTCTGTCTTTCACTGGACAATCCCATCTCTGGGGGCTTCCCATACTGTCAAGAAATCCCCAAGGGAAGACACAGTAAAGGATTTCCTCTCACTGGATGTTTTTAAAAGGGAAAGAATAGATAGCCAGGAAAGTTTTCGTGTAATGAAATGATATGTAGCTTCTCTGTGAGGAGAAAGAGTATACTATGATCCAACTGCTGGAAGTTCACCTTGGGGTCACAAGTCACCAGCAGAGTGTTTTGATGCTGCATTGGGGGAAGAGGTATATACCCAGAATCAAAGCTTTCATACCCTTTGGTAGGTTCAAAAAGGGATGAACAAACACCCTAGCTCTGGAGCTTTAGATTCACTGGGAAAGAACAAAAAATTAAAAGAAGGAAAAGAAGCAGAAACAGCAATGCACTATCATCTTCTGCCTAGCCTAGCCTGAAACATGAGAACTCTGACCCATACAATGCCTGGGCTGCAGATCGCCCTGTACAGGAGACACAGCTCTACCTAAGTAGTATAGGGACCCCTTTGGTCAACAGCTCAGGCTTCTGGTAAACAGCCACCAAGCAGCTGGAAATCTGAGATTAGTGGTCTCAACAGATCCGGAGGGTGCCAAGTCCTGGAAACTTGAGCTGGCCTTTTTCCAAACAGGAATATAACAACCATGATCTAAAAAGCTGCCCGAGTCCTGTGAAATACAGGCTTACATCTCTCCTTCTGATTTCAATATGGCTTAGGTGTGTTTTATATCAACTTGACTATAAGCAGGAGATTTCTCTGGCTCAAGATCTGAAAAGCAAAAAGGCAGACAGCTACTGGAATGGCCAAAACAGTCGTGCCCTGAGATATGATGAATAAAGACACCGGACAATTTTTGTGGCTCTCTGTGTTTAGTATTATACAACTTTATCAAGAAAGGGTTTATAATTCCATTTTTCAAGCTTTCCTAGGAAAGCCTATTGTTCTAGCCTTGTAATGCATTTATGCATTTTTCTCAAACTATCTCATGGTAAGCCAGACAATACCAAGAAGAAAAAAAAAGTGTGAGAGTCCTTTCTGTGCAACAGGAATCACAGGGAGATTTCCACACCACAGGGCTGGCTTTGAAGGCCTCCCCACAGAGCTATCCGCCAGCTGGAAGGGATTAAAACTCTCCACAAACCTTTGCTGTTGCAAATGGAATCACATGTTTTTCCCTCCAAGTTGGAATAGAAGCCAACTTACTGAACCAATGCTAAGGGCCAGCCACGAAAGAATGATCTTCATTAGCTCATATTGTGCTGTATTTACACAGAGTTGTTACGCATTTAGGAACCTCATTACATGACTTGTGGCTGACCTTTAAGTATATATTGTTATAATTCCATTTTGCACAATTTAAAAATAAGTATCAGGGCATGAAAGTTTAATGACATAATAGTCAAACCATGGTTTTCCCCTCTCTCCTTCTTAACCATGCCGCAGATGGCCACCTCATCCTCCTTTGAAGCAGAAAATGTCATCTGCCATGGGTATCTTTCTGCATTAAATTTCTATGTGGATATATTTTGGGGCCAAAACCAAGCACCCCAGGAAAAGGACAAGAAAGAAAAAATCCTCTGGGACCACAAACATGGAACTTACGGAACCATCTTGAGCCTGATCAATTGGGTAGGTACAGAAGGATCTTCAGTGGTTTAAAGAAGGGAAGCAGCAGATGAGTGACTAAACAGCAGAGGATGGCGTTGGGGAAATGTCATATCTGCATTTCACTGAGGGGAGGGGGGCTCATACTTCCTATCCCTAGCCATGCTGGCTGGGAATCTGGGAGAGCTGTGGGTCAGTCACATATTCCCCATGCCTGATGCAACTCTCCATGACCACATTCATGTATAGTCCTAAGCCTTGGCTTGCTTAAACATTGTTTACTGAAAAAACTACAATTAGCTAGCTTCACCTTCCATGCTGAGCCAAAATTGAACCAACTATAATATGGCTCAGCAAGCTGTGGAACCAGGCCACCAAGAACAAACTCTAATAATAGTGCTAACAGGAGAATTGCCCACACTAGGTGACTGAGAAACAACTGGGAGGTATTGACATACTTGTGAGGGAGTGAAGTTGGGAAAAGTAGCTGCAGCCAGGCAGAAGTGCTTCTCACCCCATTTCCCTCATACATCCATTCATGAACTCCAACTTTACTCACAAGCATCCAAGCCAGCGTTCCAGCTGCTTGTGACAACTGAGCCACACCCTGGCGTTTTCAAGGATGTGCTGTGCCAACATCCAGAGGCGGCCTCATTCCCACCCTGGCTCTTAGCTTAGAAAAGCAAATACAAAGACAAAGTAGGGTGTGTGTGTGTGTAGGAAGAAAGGTGATAAGCAAATGGCCTACAGACAGAGAAGTGGAGGTGATGTCTGAAGATTGGCAGCTATTACAAGCAGGCAAGAGGACTATCATTCAACTGCCAGGACGACAGGTTATGGTGAGCAGCATATCCTGGTGGGAGTCCTGCCTGGAGTCTGGAGCTTTGCCGGGAGCTCAGTAGCAACTAGAAGAACAACCACACTGAGACAGCACGTCATCCCAACTAGTACAAGAATGTTTGGAAAAAGGCAAAGGTTGTATGCTACTTTACAGACTTTTGCTTGAACTAAGCATTAAATTACTGAGTATTAAAGACATATTTACCAGGCAACATCACCTTGCAAGTCCTAGATGGGTGGAGGGCAGTAGTCTCTTGTTGGGGAAGGTGTGTGCTGCAATAAAGCATTGTGTACAGATTGGGTATGCTATGGTGTGTCCGGTCCTTGGAAAGCAAAGAACCCTCACAATACTCTAAATGTGTCTGTTTCTGTGAAACTACCTGGAAACGTTGCCAATTTCCTGTAAATCCACTATAGCTCTACCATTTGACCTGTTCTTCCTTTTGCCCAGCCCTAACACTGACAGCCACAGATCTCCATGATTGAGAGTTCCAAGGGAAACCTCTCATTGCTACCTTAGTCACACTTAGCCTATTCGATCACCAGCAAGTACATTGTTATGGACCAATGTTGTAGTGGTTAGGGTACCAACACTGTGATTCTTGGATGTTTTATGTTTGGAAATTGTTGGAAATAAGCTGAATTTAATTTAGTATGTGTCAGCGATACGTCCACTACACAGGGCTGCAGTGATTCCAAAAAAAAAGTTGCGGCTACTCCTAGTAAACAATTCCACTTAATTCTGATTAAAATTTCACCTATTTGTCCAATAAATTTTCAGATGAGAGATTAGGTATATTATATTGAGAAATGGGAGATTTTCGCTAATTCCTGAAAAGACCAAACTCTGGGAAAATTATGAATGACTATTAAACATTTGGAAAGATTCCCGATGGGCCAAAGTGATGCAATCCTGATTTTAGAAATGGTGACAGGCAGTTTAAAAAATTGAAATCAAATATGAGGTTTCATTGGTACTTCCGCATGTAAGACTAGATTCTAAGGGTATTTTCTACTTGCACCTAATCAAGATTCAAACATCTGGCAACATCTTTTTCTGCCTGGTTCCCATGGTGTTGCCTTCATCTTACCCCATGAGGGAAACAGGTGCAAATCATTCTTAGTTGCTGATGTAAAAGGTGCTTCCTGAGATTGACCAAGGGCAGCCTCTAGCTGTGTAAATCCAGCATCATCACCATTACCTTAGAAGGAAGTGACCAGCAGTAACTGGCAGCAGAGGAAGACAGGCAGAATAGAAATCGGCAATAGGGAGAGCAAATGCCACGCTAGTATGGTTTTCTGCCAGGGTGGAGACACTGTAAGTCAAGGAAATGAAAACTCTTCCCATCAATATGCACATTTTCTCTTTAAAGGGGTGTGTGTGTGTGTTTTTAAAAATAGTTTTAGAAGTACAGTGATATAGCCTGATAAGCAACTGAACATCAGGAAGATTTTCCTAGCAATAACAGTGTTCAACAATGGAACACCTCAGGAACTAACAGATTCTCCTGCCTAGAGGTGTTCAGAAGCTAGATGGTCATCTGTCGGGGATAATCTTAAAAGGGATTTCTGCATTGGACACGGGGACAGACTAGAAGATCTCCAAGGTTCCTTTTAACCCTAGTAGAATCATAGCCTCTGAGAAAGGGGCTTTCTGGGGGAAGAACTACAAATTTCCATCATGTCGTATAGATGCTGGGCAGGAAAAATAAGCTCAAAATGGAAGGGCGAGTTTCAGTGGAACTTTTTTTTTTTTTTTGCAGAGGAAGAATTGTGCATCTATTGCTCCACTAATTGCAAAATAAACTTTTGGAACAAATTAGAGTGGGATAAATGATGATTGTGGGTATGGGGCTGGCTACCAGAATTGTTATGTTTGGCTCAGGATGCTGATCACCTTGCACAGAAAGCATCACATGAAATGGGTGTCATGCATCTTTTCACTTGAAAACTAAAGCCTCCCACGTCATAGGGAGCATATTATCTTACCAACTGCTAAAAAAACCTATTTTACTTACCAGCAGGATATACT